GGAGTTATAGCCCTTGGTGACTATCTTATATAAATTTTTCTTAGGCGAATAATTTAGTCAATTTTTTTTATCAGGGATGTCCAACGGTCTTGCATTAGTGGACATTGCCCAGTGTGCGCTGATCTATGCGTGGAGTACATCTGAACTGTATGGTTCTGATCCAACGCCTGCGATTCAGTTACAGTTGAGTGAAGTTTCATCGCCGAGTCCCGTTGAGGTATGTTGCTTTTTCTAATTTTAGTCAATCTCACTCTTCTGTCTTTTTTGAACTTACCCATTTCAATTTTTGCATGGAAAGTAATTTGACGTTCTGGGAGATCTGTAACACTATCTCACAGTCAAGAGTGATGTCTTTGAAGTTTCAAGATGGAATTATGTTCTTGTTTTGTTTGCTGCTTTAACATTTCGCTAAATTTTCTTGTGTTGATCAATTGAAGAAGCTGTAGGCAGCATGGCAAAACTGGGCTTCTGCTTTCTATTGGTATTTTTACCATAGTTGTTCCTTTGCTTTGAAAGGGAATCATTCCCATCTGGTATTTCATAACGTAGTTTGTTCTGCCTGCCTTTGTATAGAAGATCGAGAAAGAAAAGTATTTAGAAGAATTCTAATGGCAAATTCTAGTCAATACTAACGCATGAGGACTCAAACATCTTTAAAAAAATCCATCATTTATTTTTCTTGAAGCTGTCTGCTGCCGGTTTCTAGTAACGTATGTCACTCTTGACTGTAAATTTGAATGCTTGATGTTTGCTTCGTTATCTGTGTTTGTCATGGTGGGCATGTGAAGTTTATAGCAAGACATCGAGGACGACGATATGCGGTTACCGAGAAGTGAAACATCTTCACCGCGGAAACCTCCACTATCACCAAAATCAAGTGCTAATGTTATATCACTGTTTCGACGAAATACTGTCGAATTCGCGGCCTCAATACGTGAACGCTATCGTGAAACTAGACGAGAGCATACAGATCGACCAGATACGGAGTTGGGAGAGGATGCTCTTCTAACAGCATCACCTTCAAAACCCGCACAGCGATGCCAGTCGGAACGTCATAGAGGCATCATGCGGCATTTTACAAAGAAGAAAACTAAGGTGACGAGGAGCCTGTCCTTTCAAAGCCCAGAGAAAGTTATTGGTGAAGGTTAGTGTATGTTGTGTTTTGCATACGTTATGGTTTAACAGGTTTTTTCTTGGTTTATGTGGTAGCTTGCACACTAAAGGGTTTTGTGGTCTGTCTTTTCTTTGTCTTTTTTATTATTATGGCTATCTTCAATTTACCATGCATTCTTTCCTCTTTATCCATCCTCTATCCTCGGTCTTGGCAATTTTTATTTTAGTAGTATCAAGATGAATGCACTTATGCTCATGAAAACTATGATCGTTCTAATTATTTGTTTAATTTGTTAAGAGGAAAGGCGACGTTTATTTTTCTTTCACATTTGAATGGATTTCAGTATCTTTGCTAAAATACAACACTGATTGCATATAACCAACATTAGTATCCTAATTTGCATCTTTCCAGAATTCATTAAATTGTAGAAGAAAGACTTATGCATACTGAATTCTCCACCACCCACTCCTCCCCTTTAGTTTTGGTTTTGAATCATGAAAGAGTAATTTGAAATTGTTGACTTCCGCTGAATTCAACTTTTAGATGTTGAATTCCGAAACTTGCGTAAAGGCCGCATGCCACAAGCTTAGTGTTATCTATATTTTGTACAGAATACCTTTATTATTCATTGTGGAGTCGATATATCGGTTGAAATATTGTATCACTAATTGCATTACTATACGTTATCGTTACTTATCGCAACACCTAATATAAGGGTCAAATGAGCTTTCAATTTACACAAAAAGTGTTTTGATGCAGAAATTTAGTTGAAATTTTATTCTCTTTCTTTAACTGCACCGTTCCCAGATTTGACAGCACGCGCTAACTTCGTTCACCTTGAAAGGGAATATGAGTGTTTCTGTTTGTTCTTTTTTCTTTCTCATATATTCTTGGATCATTCTTTTTGAAATGAACGTTCAGCGCTTTTTGCTACATTTTGTAAAGTGGTTTTGTTTGTATGCTATTTCAGATAAAAGCAAAAAACTCAGATGCAGTATAATTACTAGGTAGCTGATTTTCTATTTTTAGACTTAATATTTGATTTGAGTTTGATTCTTTGATTTGAAGCAGTTTTTCGCCTGTTTCATGGCTTATGGGTTCTTAGCGTAAGGCGTTTTTAATATATCATATGGTGAATTATGCCTTCATATTAAATTTTCAAATATTTAGGTTAAACTTTCTGCCCTATACTAATCAACTGCGAACCATTAACCTTGAAACGGGTGGAAGACTGTGAAATCAAAATTTACTCTCATATGAAAATTACATAGTTGAGCCCCTTCTGGCACTGAGTTTTCTGCACTCGTTCAA